GGAAACAAACACTGAACTGGGGGAAGTGATGATCCCAGGCTAAAGGGATTTCTAGCCTGCGTATGAAAACCTGGGAAACTCAAGCTGCAAAGCAATGGCAGCTTATGCCTTAAGAATCTGCCAGCGTTTATCACTCCGTGTGAGAATTTGGTAATTCATATCCTACTTCTCTAGTATATTAAGCTCAGTTTGTGTTTTTGTTTATTTACTAGGTAATCTACTTAGATCTGTTTGTTCACATCAATACAAATCGAAAAATCTGCTGAGGAGTTTTTATTAAGGGCACAATTCAGGATCTAGAAGGCCTCAGCTTCCCCTGTCCTTGCTCTTCAGGACTGGAATGTGTAAATGGTGGGAGAGGTCAGGAAATGATTGGTGCCTAGCAACTGTAACTGGCTTTTGAAACTACAAGTTTTTCTCATTGTAGAGGGATTCAGAGTCTCTAGTGTGACAGCAACAGGGAGGGATCGGAATGCAAACAAGACTCGGGAACTTGGCTGTGAAATGCACTAAAGCTCCTGAACCCTCCCCAATTGCCCTTCTCAAAATGATAGAAAATTAATAAGGGAATCAAAAGGATAGAAGGAGAAATCTATGGCCAAAATAATCACCACAGCCTGCTTCACCTTGTTCCGTCCTCCTAGGGGTTGGTGAATGGAAATGGCTGCAGCAGATCCAATTGTGGTAGGGGATTTTTTAGGAACCTTATATTATTGTTCTATCATTGTATTTCCAAGGAGCCCTAATCATGATCCAGAACCCCATTGTGCAAGGCATTGTACAAATGTAGAACAAAAAAATAACAAAAACAGTGGATGTTTTGTTTGGTGGCTGCAGTTGTTCATTCCCCTCCAAAGCAGGTCCAAGGCAGGGGGTGAAATCAAGTCTGGGGTTTGATGGCTCAATTTATAGAACAATGGAGCTGGCATCTGGGACAGAGAACAGGATAGCAGAGTGCCTAGGGGATAAATCCCCTTTTCCCCAATAGAGACAGTTGCGACACCACGGAGTTAGTATCACAGAAAGCACCAAAAAACTAGAAGCAGGAGCCAGACACCTGGTGGGAAGCAAACGCCTGGGATGGAGTCCAGCCAGGATATTTGAGAGCCCTTTAGCTGCTCTGTGTCCTCGGGGAAATGTCAAGATTCTGCCCAGGAGCAACTGGATTCCTCACTGAGCTGAAAGAGAGAATAGACACTGGAGATGCTGCTGGTGAGGAGACAAGCTGCTACCCCTCTGGAGGTGTCTGTGTATCCAGTCTTGTGCTAAGCTCAAGAACTGAGGAAATTCCCCAGGATGCCCAGGGAGACGAATGGTTTGCAACAAATCTTTTATTCAGAAAAGCAGAAACCAATGTTGAAAAAACTTCAATGTGAAATAAAGACTCAACCAAAATCTAAATGTCCAGAAACACAAGACCTCACCCCCACCATCCAGAGGCAAGGTGAATTCCCTCCCAGGGCAGTCATTTCAGGAATAATCACAATGTGTTCTAAGTCTCTGCTTGAAATCAGGAACAAGGGAATCCAGCTAAAACCCTTCAACTCAGTAAAACACTCCCCTGACAGAGAGAGCTAGGGAAGAATGAGACAGTGGCAGAATAATAAAATACAGTAATAATAAAGAAACTTTCTAGCCGAAGATGCCAATATTCATAAAAAGCGACAGAGTCCTGTGGCACCTTTAAGACTAACAGATGTATTGGAGCATAAGCTTTCGTGGGTGAATACATGCATCTGAGGAAGTAGGTATTCACCCACAAAAGCTTATGTTCCAATACATCTGTTAGTCTTAAAGGTGCCACAGGACTCTCTGTTGCTTTTTACAGATCCAGACTAAAAACGGCTACCCCTCTCATACTTGACAATATTCATAGAATCATAGAACTGAAAGGGACCTTGAGAGGTCATCTAGTCCAGTCCCCTGCACTCAAGGCAGGACTAAGTATTATCTAGAGCATTCCTGGCAGGTGTTTGTCAAACCTGCTCTTAAAAATCTCCAATGATGGAGATTTCACAACCTCCCATGGCAATGTATTCCAGTGCTTAACCACCCTGACAGTTAGGAAGTTTTTCCTAATGTCCAGCCTAAACCTCCCTTGCTGCAATTTAAGCCCATTGCTTCTTGTCCTATCCTCAGAGGTTAAAAATTTTTTTCTTCTTCCTCCTCCTTGTAACCTTTTACATACTTGAAAACTGTTATCATGTCCCCTCTCAGTCTTCTCTTTTCCAGACTAAACAAACCCAGTTTTTTCAATCTTCCCTCATAGGTCATGTTTCCTAGACCTTTAATCATTTTTGTCGCTTTTCTCTGGACTCTCTCCAATTTGTCCACATCCTTCCTGAAATGTGGTGCCCAAAACTGGACACAATACTCCAGTCGAGGCCTAATCAGCGTGGAGTACAGCGGAAGAATTACTTCTCGTGTCTTGCTTACAACACTCCTGCTAATACATCCCAGAAGGATGTTCACTTTTTTTGCAACAGCGTTACACTGTTGACTCATATTTAGCTTGTGCTCCACTATGACTCACAGATCTCTTTCCGCAGTACTTCTTCCTAGGCAGTCATTTCCCATTTTATATTATTGTCATGAGACACTTGATACTGTGTTGCTATTAGTGAAATCTGATGGGATGATGCACATGAATGGAATGCTAAAATCAATGGTTTTCACCTAGTCAGGAAAGATCAAGTGGACAAAAGGAAGGGGGAGTGGCACTCTGTCAAAATAGCATTAATTGTTTCTAAGTTACTGATAACTAGGAATAAAATGATCTTGAATGCTTATGGATCAAGGTCCTAACAGATAAAGCACAAGCTGGGGTACTAGTTGGTGTCTGCTACAGACCACCAAATCACACTAGGGAACAACAGGATGACTGACTCCTTAAGTATCTACCTATAAGATGTAGTGAAAAAAGCTACATGATCGGGGGACTTCAGCCTGAGTGACGTATGCGTGAGGTCTCATGCAGCCACTAATAAAACATCCTTGGAGTGTCTAAATATTATAAATGACAACTTCCTAACTCAAAGTTTTGCATCCAACACAGGGGAATTCTATATTAGATCTTGTCATGACATACAAGGAGGAATTGATCACAGAACTAAAAATTAGTGGTAGCTTAGGCACAAGTGATCATGACTCAATCACATGTGTTACATGCAAACATCATAAGTCCCAACTAATACTGTATATATTTGATGTTTTGAAAGGACAAATTTCACAAAGCTGAAAACAATGATGAGACAAATCAGCTGCGAGGAAGAATTTTAACAGAAAAATGTAAATGGTTACCAGGAATAAGAATACTTTACTAGATGTCCAAAATTCAACAACTGGTTAAAAAACAACAACTTGGCTTCGAGGAGAAGTGAAGACAGCTATAAAAATAAGAAAACAATATATTAACAAATGGAAGAAATGGAAAGTTAATAATAATGAACATAAATCAGAAGCTAGAAATTGTTGAAAATTGAGAAGGGAATCAAAAAGACACAAGCAGATCTCCATGGCCAAAAAAATTAAGGACAATAAGAAAGAGGTTTTTTTAAGTATATTAAGAACTAAGAGTCCTAACAATAGTACTAGTTCCTGACTAGATGGAAATAGCAGAATTATCAATAATAATGCAGAAAAGCAGATGTATTCAATAATTTCCGTTCTGTATGTGGGAACAAAAATGAAATAGATGATGTAGTTATATCGTATGACGGCAACACTCTTTCCATTCCAATTGTATCTTGTGCGGATATTAAACGGCAGCTACTAAAGTTAAGCAGTTTTAAATCTGCATGTCCAGATAACTTGCATCCAAGAGTTTTAAAAGAGTTAGCGGAGGAGCTCTCTAGACCATTAATGTTGATTTTAAAATAACTTTTGAAACACTGAGGAAGTTCCAAAAGACTGTAAGAAACCTAATGTTGTGCTTTGAAGGTTAATGGGATGACTTAGGCAATAGTAGGACTGCCAGCCTTACAGATCCTGGGAAAATTAATGGAGTAGCTGATACGGGACTTGATTAATAAAGAATTAAAGGAGGGTAATATAATGAATCCCCATTAACATGGGTTTATAGAAGACAGATCCTGTCAAACTAGCTTGATTTATTTTTAATGAAATTACAAGTCTGGTTGATAAAGGTAATAGTACTGATTGAATATACTTAGACTTCTGTAAGACATTCGACTTGGTACTGCATGATACTTTGATTAAAAAACTAGAATGATACATGGCTCACATTAAATGGGTTTAAATCAACATGGCACACATTAATGGATTTAAAACTGATTAACTGACAGGTCGCAAAATATAATTATAAACTGGGAATCATCGAGTGGGTGTTTCTCAGGGGGTCCTGCAGGGATCAGTTTTTTGTGGTATCCTTTTTAACATTTTCATCAGTAACCTAGAGGAAAACATAAAATCATCACTGATAAAGTTTGCAGGTGACACACAG